TTCAACTATTCTCCAACCCCATGTGTGGGCATGTGTGTTTGAGCATGCATCTGGGTCAGTGTGCATACATGTGAATGCATGAACACACACACACACACACACTCACTCTCTCTGTTCTTCAGTTTAGATGCAATAGAAAGGATAAAGTGTCATTCTACTAACAAGGTGTTTCGATGCAAACACCAGTAGAGAGGCAGTCACACGCCTTGCAAAGGGAACACGTGTAAGATTTGCCCTTTAATTAGCATCTGCAGCTGCTGCCATCAGAAGGGGCGTCTCTGTTGGCTGGAATGTCTTTGCTTTAAAAGAGCAAGTCCGTTATAACTCCAAGCCAGGCTTGTCTGTCAGCTGCCGTGCTTTCTCTGCCATCAGCGGGGTTGCCATGCTGTGTGGGGCTGGTTCCCTGAAGGGCACCTTGCCCCTCTCTTATGTCCACGGTCTTGTGGCTTCTGTGCCTTGGTGACTACCATGCCAGTGAGGACCTGCGGCTCTTCACTGTGTGCAGGGGATATTTCCAGCCCTTGCAAGGATGTGGAATCTTCATTGCCGATGGACTGGTTATTTCCAGCCCTTTGTTGTCAGTTGATATATAGAAAAGCTAGAGAGAGAGAGAGAGAGAACAGAAGCTAGAGCTGTTTTATTAAAGCTGAGCTTTGTTCAAGGGCACCTCTGCTGTACAAACCTTGAATTCAGCAGGAGTGGAGAGCCACACTGGTTGCATAGTCTCATCAGCTGCGAGTCTCCGTGCTGCAGCGGCTGCAGTGGCTGCATCAGAAGCACACCAGTGGTTCCTTAAAATGCATGTCCCTGCTCCCTAAGAAGGTGGCATAGGAAGGAGATATAGCCCACTGCTTTACGCTGCATATTTGTTATTTATTTGTAAAAGTTTGGTTTATTTGAGAGACAGTGAGTGAAAGATGCACACACACAGACACACACGCAAGCGCACGCACACACACGCAACCACCATCTGCTGGCTTACTTTCCAGTTGCATGCAACATGCAGAGCTGGGCCAGGGCTGGAGCCAGGAGCTGAGGACTAAACCAGGGTCTCCTCTGTGGGTGGCAGAGACTCATCTACCTGAGTGATTATCTCGTGCGTCCCAGGGTCTGCATTCCCACAAAGCAAGAGTCAGGAGCCGGAGCCAGGCACTGAACCCAGGTACTGATGAGGGAAATGGCTATCTCATCTACTAGACTAAATGCCCGCTCTATTATTATAATAATTTAAAGTATTTTTTTCCATTCCACTGGAATGCCGATTCCACGAAGGCAGCAGGTTTCCTGTGTTTTATTTGCCGCAGTTTTGCTCACATCTAGAACAGTACCTGACACTGGAGTCTTTATTTGAATGAGTGTGTCTTATCATTTTTCAAAAAACCACTTTTTCCAGGAATTCTGATTGTATGGGCAGACGTGGGAAAGCCTTGCTCACAGTCTCCTTGGATTAGCAGTCACATTGTAAAGGAGCAGCACCTCACCAGCTCTCTGTGTTCAAAGTCCGTTTTCGACAAGTTCAGTGGCAGTGAAGAACCCTCTGATACAGCCCGGGCCTGCTGTCCTGGTCTTTGGTACACAGCTAGCACTTCAAGATTTGAAGACTTCAAGCTTCTCAGCTTGTGACATTGCTTCTGGGGCCACGTGATTTGATACCATTTCAGCAGTCCCAGAGTGTCTGCAGAAAGCCCTCAACTCTTGGTTTCTTATTATCTCTTTAAGATCAACAGCATGCCTTTGATTAAGGCTAGGTTCGAATATTATTCAGATTGCCATTAGCATCATGAAATATCTGAGATGGGGATTTTAGAAAATTGGTTTGCATAGCTCATAGTTTTGGAGGCAGAAGGTCCAAAGAGCTTGATGCTGGCTGGCTCTGTGGGTTAAGGGCCTCTGGCTGAGTCACCTTCCGATAAATGATGTCGTGATGGATAAGACACGAAGCCAGTGAGCAGGGAAGGGCCAGGCTTACAGCTTACCACTAGGCTTCACCTGTTACCAGTCCTGTTATTTTTCAACTTTGACACATTGAGGACCAAGGTCTAGGCACATGGCACTTTGGGGAAAACTCGCACAAACCAAATCCAAACCACAGCAGTTGATTGCAAACAAACTGTCTTCCCTTTGGGCTGCATTTATAATAGAATGAGCACCTCTCCCCTGATGACGTCATTTTGGGGTTTGGATAAGGTCTGGAACTGTGTTGTTAGAACAAGTCTGATTAGTTTCTTGGGACCTGTTCTGTTTAGAGGTTGGTCATTTGCTCTATTTTGGCTCCATGATGTGGAACCTGTTGTAATGTTGGCTGATTTTTTAAAGAAGATTTGTTTATTTTTATTGCAAAGTCAGATGTACAGAGAGGAGAAGAGACAGAGAGGAAGATCTTCCATCCGTTGATTCACTCACCAAGTGACCACAACGGCCGGTGCTGAGCTGATCCAAAGCCAGGATCCAGGAACTTCTTCCAGGTCTCCCACACGGTGTAGGGTCCCAAGGCTTTGGGCCGTCCTCAACTGCTTTCCCAGGCCACAAGCAGGGAGCTGAATGGGAAGTGGAGCCACTGGGACTAGAACCGGCACCCATATGGGATCCTGGCATGTGTAAGGTGAGGACTTTAGACACTAGGCTACCATTGCCAGGCCCTGTGTGTGTGTTTTGTGGGTTTTTTTTTTTTTTTTTTTTGGCCAGTCAATCCTGGTTTCCAAAGGAATGGAAAGTGATTTAACATGTAGATAAGGCTGGTTTCAGCTGGGTTTTTCTGAATGGGAGCAAGGAACACATATCTTTTTTTGCCTTTTTTTAGGGATGCTTTCTTATTTTCAGAACAGTTCATCTAGACATTACAGATAGAATCTTCTGGAGCAGCAGCCGAGGAACAAGTGGCACTCACCCTTGACCTCCTTGAAGTTGTAATGCCTTCCGTACGTGTGACTTTCTCAAACCCACAAGCCAGCCTGTTTTCTCACACCACTAATTGAGCCACAGGAAATTCATAAATGCAACCTGTCATAAATATGTATTGTTATTATTTTAAGACATTTCCGTTCTAAAAGTACGAGTACTTCTGTTATTATCTATGAATTCCCTTTTTTTTATGTTTAAGACCTTTTTAATGGCAATATATATTTAAAACAGACGTATAAATTAGCATTCACCCACGTACCCAGGGCCCGAGGAGAACCAGGTTGGGATGAGTGGGTGAGCTGTAGGCAGCCAGGTGGCTGAAGAACGGGGATGAGCGACTTACGTCAGCTGTGAATTTGGGGGAAACTGAAGATGCGCTGGGGGGGCTGCCCCTTCCAAGCCTCACACTTACTAGTTCCTCAGTCAGTTGTGCTTTTCAGCAGTTGCCGTGCAAATGGACCCATATTCTTCATGTCCACTGTTAGGCTGAGTGTCAGCCGAGGGATCTGGGTCGAGGCCACGGAGCCTTTGGGAATTCCTGGGCAGGTCCTTGGCTTCCCTAGGAGTCTCAGGTTCAAGGATGACTTGGTGCAGGGTTGACTTCTGGAGTGTTCACTTGGCAGCCAGGGGTCTTTAGGATGCTCCACGTCCACTTGTCCAGAGCATTCTCCTGATTCTGGCCTAAGTACAAAGAAGAGTTGGGAGACTGATGTGGAATGTTGGGAGACTGATGTAGTTTGATAGATTTAGTGGTTTTTGTTGTTGTTGTTGTTGTTTGTTTTTTAAGAAATGTTCAGATATCATCTTTTTCTAGAAAAGATTTGAGGCCTTTCAGGACAAAAGACATTCCCTGAGAAAGCATGGGGTTGTGGAGGTGGGGCACTCTGAAGAGTTAACACGGTGCACTGATGGTGAAAGTGGGGCTGAGCTTCTCGGCATCCAGAGCAGGTAAGATCCTATAATAAAGGAGCAAGGAAGGTGAGGAACAAGTGGTAGCCAGGGCCTTGACACTGGTGCCAGGCCTTCTGGGGACATGGCTCAGGAGAAGGTGAGGGCAAAGCTAAAAGCCAAGTGGCCTGCGCGCCAGGTGTTGACTGATCATCAAAAAGAGGAAGGATTTCAGTTCCTCGGGATAGGAAACATTGTTTCTGCTAATCACAGATTTTCACCTGAGGCATTATGTTGTTCTTGACTTTCCCCTGTGTACATTTGCAGTGTGTGTTTTCCCACTGTTTTTCTCACAAGAAGAGGGTTACACCTTATCCTGTAGAGGATGACACTTTACAAGAGACTCCTGGAAGAGAGGGAAAGAATTCATGTTCTCCACAAACTTTTTGAAGCTCATGCCTATGTTACTTTGGACAGCTTCCCATGGCTACACGAATATTTGGAACCCACTTATTTTTTAATATCTGCATCATATCCCAGGATTGAGACGTTATCGTATTCCACTCAGGATCCTGCTGACAGATGTTTGGCTGACTTCCAAGGTTTTGTGTGTGTGTTACAACACTGCAGTGTGTCCATTTATCCATCTGCAGACTAGTGTACCTGGACCATGAATTGGTAGATGTGGAATTATAGGTCAGAGGTTCTATCTTTCACATTTAAGTGTTTCCTGGAGGCTGCCGTTCATCTTCTAAGCCAACCACACAGGAAAAGATGGCATCACGTTTTCTGCACGCCTCCTGTAACCTGCTGCCTGAGGAAGGGAGCAAAAAAAGGATGCAAGGGAGTTTGTTGCCCTCTAGGAATATGCATCCATGCTGTGTACCTGCTCCTGGGGAATGTCTGGGTGTCGACTTGGGTGGGTGGGGGAGTGGGTGGATTTAATTCAAACTTTGCAAGCTTATGTTGCAAACGTGACTGTGCTTGGTGTCTGGGACTAGTCTTGCATTTTATTGATTCTCTTGGGAGAACGGATGTAATTTCCCCTAGCACAAGGACCACACTTCATAACTCTCCCTGTGCCTCACAATTCTTCCTTGCCTTGTGGAGGCACTGTGGTTGTGACATATCCAGCGGTATTTGAGGATCCTATTGAAGTATTCCTTTGTTGTTGTTATGTGAAAAATTAATAACTCTGGCATTCTTTGCAGGTCATGGAGTATCAACCTGGAGGGGATTTACTGTCCCTCTTGAATAGATATGAGGACCAATTAGATGAAAACACAATTCAGTTCTATCTGGCTGAACTCATCTTGGCCATCCACAGCGTCCATCAAATGGGATACGTTCACCGGTAAGTGGGGCTCTCTGGTACCTTGCTGAGGATTTATCTGCATCACCCAGGGGTTCCTGCATAGCTAATGAGCAGGCAAATGGCTTCAGTACCTGAATAATGCTTCATCTGATTTTTAGCCCTTCCCTCTTGGGATAGGCCAAAGGGGAAACTTTTCAAGATGGCAAACACCTCAGTTTGCCCATTCAACAGTGAAAAATAGGCCTGGAATGGTCATGTTTCCTCAGTTTGCCAGGGAGTAAGCTCTGTTTGTGTACCTGCTAAGACAAAGAACTCTCGCTTGGCTTCTCTGGGGTGGGTGGCGGAAAGACCAGGTGTGATTTGTGGAAGGAACTGGCCTATACAGGAGCCAACCACGCCTGTCAGTATTGTCCAGGGGCTCCCCAATGATGCATGTTCCTCACATCCCCACTTGTCGGATGTTTCCTGTCTGTCTGCAGTGTTGTGATGGCTTGACCACGAAACCTGAAACCAGCTTTCTTTGGCTTTTTTCTTTTCCATTGGCTACCTAACTTTTCCATCGGGCTACATGACCTTGGGCAAGTTCTGCAGCTTCTTTTTTGCCTGTGTACCTTCCTTTTCCCTTCTTCTCTCTTTTTATATATATAATTTTTGCTTGAGAGGCAGAGAGAACACGAGGGCACATGAGTGAATGTGTGAGCACTCTTATCTATTGCCATACTCCCCAAGTGCTCCCAGCAGTGAGGACTGGGCCAGGCCCAAACTGGGAGCCAGGAGCTCAGTCCAGTCTCCCACCTAGGTGATAGGACCCAAGTATCCAAACCATCTCCTCTGCCTCTCTCAACCTGCTTTCGCCAGAAGTTGGAGTAAGGAGCCAGAGTGGGAATTGAATCTGAGGATCCTGATAAAGGCATGGGGGTGGGGGGTGGGCAGGGCCCCCACAGTGTGTCACTAATTTATGCTAAGTGCCCACCCTGGGCTTAGCTTTTGTGATGTAAAATCTGCATCTCTGGGGGAAATAATCTGAGTTATAACAGGTATGTGGGCCTGGGGTGGTGGTCTAGCATCTTAAAGTCCTCTCCTAGAATGCTCCGGGATCTCATATGGGCGCCGGTTCTAATCCCGGTGGCTTCGCTTACCATCCAGCTCCCTGCTTGTGGCCTGGGAAGGCGGTCGAGGATGGCCCAAAGCCTTGGGACCCTGCACCCACACGTGGGAGACTTGGAGGAGGTTCCTGGTTCCTGGCTTTGGATCAGGGCAGCACTTGCGGTTACTTGGGGAGTGAATCATCGATTGCTAGATCTTCCTCAGTCTCTCCTCTGTATCTGACTTTGCAATAAAAATAATTAAAAACAAACAAACAAACAGGTACTTGCCTCTATTCCTCCTTCCCTCCCTTCCTTCCTCTTAAGATCTGCTTGGCAATGTGTATGCTCCTTGTCGACACCCATCAGCAGGTGTAGAGGAAAATAGAAGCTAAGGTTCTTGGTGGAACCCAGATGCCAGGTTAACAGTTACTGCCTGCTGGTTGGCACAGGGAGGGCAGTGCTGATTCATTGTTCCAACTTCCTTACAGAGACGTCAAGCCCGAGAACATTCTCATTGACCGAACGGGCCACATCAAGCTGGTGGATTTTGGATCTGCTGCTAAGATGAATTCAAATAAAATGGTAACAGAACGGAATGAGCTAGCTTATTAGCACAGGTTATACTACAAAGCTTTCTGGACTTTATATGTTTGGGAAGTACTGAGATAAGATTTGGAGCCTGTGTGGGAGTTCGGGGAGGGTTAGCATGGCCATAAGGGCCATTTCCCAGGTTGTGGCACCTTTTATATGTAGTTCCCCTAACACCCTCAAAAACAGTTTTAGGAATATTCTTATTTTGGTTCAAAAGGAAAGACTGATTTTGTTTTCCTTTTCCTTGTCTGTTATAGCCTGTTTTCTGTTACATCATCTTTTTACTTTTAAAATATTTTGATGTATTTTCCTGTGCTGCAAAATTGAAATTAATCACTCGAGCATTTCATCCAAATATCCCTAAGTGCTAAAAACCCGGAGCTCAGAATATAATTTTTAAATCTTAAAACTTGTTAAAAATCAAGCTATATCCCACATGCTAATTAGGGAGGCAGGAGGGCAGCTGTTATCCACGGGGAGACTTCTTTAAAATGACAAAGTTAAAAGAAAAAAAAGAGATTTAAAGAAATCTTCTAATAAAATTTGTCCTTACTGAAATGTGAATTATGCAAAAAAGATAGGTCTGAGAGAAGATGGACTTAGGTTTTTAAGACTTCTTTCATAACTGAGCCATTTGGTGACCTGGACAAATCCTTAGGAAATTGGCCTTTCATTCCCTCTCCAGCAAATAGTGATTGGAGTAGAATGCACTAATCAAGAGGTTAGAGAACCATGCTGCCAGGCTCGGAGTTCAGTGCTTTCTATCAAGGACAGTAGGTAAAGTTGCGCTCCTCCTCCCCCTTACATATCTTGGAGGAGATGTGGTTATTATTAGGCTAAGGCCAGAAGAAGGCTTGGAGCCCTATTGGCTTTTTGCATTTTATGACTGTTCTTCAGACCCGTCTTGAGATAACAAGCCTTGCATTTGGGAATTTTTTTTTAAGAGGAGGAAAAAAAAGCAACACTGGACTGTCCCAGGCCAGGATTTCTCTACCTCAGTGCTGTTGTTTCTTGTAGACTGTCAACTTACCTGGCCATTAATGTTACGAATCAGAATGTCAGAGTATTTGCATTTAATACTGTGTGGATAATTCTGAAACAGATGTGAGGACTTAGGTATTGAATTCAGGGGAATCAGTCGCTGCAAAAATAAATGATGTGACTCTTCTTGTTACCCTGGTGGCATTCATAGACACCTGTCTTCAGACATGCGTTGACGTACAGGCAGTACAGGCACAGAGCGAGACAGCAGAACCTCAGCACTGTTGACATTACGGGCTGCGTGATTCCTTGTGATTGGGGAAGCGTCCTGGGGATTTCAGGATGTCTGGCTGCTTTCCAGGCCTGTTACCCTCTAGATGCCAGCAGTGCCTTTTCCCCCACATTCATAACAACCAAAAACCTCTGCAGACATGGCGTGATGTTGTCCCTGGGAGAGAGGGTTAAGGTCAGGAAGAGGTGACTCGGGTAACTCCTGGTTGAGATGCCTGCATGTTTGAGAGGTATCAGAAAGCTGATTATTAGAGCAGGGAGATGCATTTGCAGCAAGAAATCCTACTTGGAAAGCTGGACGATGACAGAACAGTCGCTGAGTAAAGGAGTGATGGACAAGGCCGTGTTTGCGTCCCTGTGCTCAGACGCGTGGGGGACACACAGGTCTCCTGTTCATTTGGAGTTCTCAGAGCTGCCAGCTGCCCTTTTCAGTTCCTCTGATTGTAGCACCCTGCAGTCCAGGCCAGGAGCTTCAAGGCTCTTAGGACTCTTTGTGGCTCAGGAATCAGGAGAACTGAGTATTGTGGTCAAGGAGGCATGGCTCTTCAGATATCCACTCGAGAGAATTGTGCCTCCTTTGCTGGGTGCTCACTGGGCCAGAGGGTTACAAGCAAATAATGTTTTGTTGTTATTATTATTTTTTGCATTTTGTTACAAAAGAGCAACAGTCTGCAATTTAGAGGAAGTCAAGGGTGGATACTATAGAATCATAATTATTGAAATATTTTTGATTGATGAACATAGGGTTAAACCCATGTTTCCTTTCAATAGAATGTTTTACAGGCCCATAGCAGGGCCTCAATATTTTCTATATTCCAAATATGCTATGTAAAAATGTAACCTGCATTTACTGAAATCACTGCATGTTACCCAAATCCTGCCACCCCCTGTGTGAGTGTTGGATCTGTCGCACGTTCCGTCATCCATTGTCTTTCTGACAGGCTTCTTACTGAGGATGTTGCTTTGGAGTCTTTTCTTTTCGTTAGTAAATAGGAAGGGGGGTTGCTGGTGACCGTAAGACCTGCTGTGTGCTTAGGTCACCCATGTCACCTTGCTGGAATGTCAAAGAACGGCAAGCAGCATGGCAAGCAGCCAGCAGCAGTTCAGCCTATCTCATTGATCTCTATTGAACACAGTCGTAAGGAGCTTGTAAATGAAACGCATTACAGCACAGTCAGTGATACTCAGCCCCCATGTAGCAGCTGGAAACTCAGAGGAGATAGCCCTTTTTAGATTTATGTAGGAGCTAAAAGGCTGGGTTTGTTTTCCACAGACTCACAGCGTAAGTTTCCTTTCCCTGTTTGGCAGGTGTAGGTTTAATGCCTTGGGCAGCTAGATGAGGAAAATTAGGAAAAGTGTTTCCTGTTTCTCTCCCTTCCTCTACCCTTTCTCTCTTCCTTTACCCTCCTCTCTCCTTCCCTCTCTTTTCCTCCCATCCCCTCTCCGTCCCTCTACCTTTCTTTCTCCTTCCCTCCCTTACGTTTTCACTCTCTCCCCCAGGTGAGACTCTCCTATCTCCTAGTTCTTTTCTTGTTATCTCTGGTTGAACTAGTTTATTTTCTTCCCCATTAACGTCATGAGAATTAACTATGGCTTATACTGCTGGGGAGCTGTCCGTGTGCTGCAGGCAGAGTGGGTTCCTAGAGGATGTTCTCTGTTAGTGTCTCACCCAGATTAACTGGCTGAGTTGCCCCAGGAGGAGGGGAAAGCGCGTGGTGGGAAGTCCTAGGTAGGATGTGCGATGACATGGTGAACAGGTTTAATGTGACTAATGAAACCTGAGTAATCCTTAATTATCATTAAAGACCATTATTAATCATGATTAAGCACCATTGTAGGAGATGTACAAAGGGTGAGTCTATGTGTATTTCTCCTTTTCATATCTTTCTGATACCAATTAATAATAGAATCTAGAGGATTGTTGGACATAAATATATAGAATCACAGATACATTGTGAAACAAGAATGAGTTTGGGGGAATTAATCTGTCTTTGGTAAGTCTAGTTATTAGTTTGGAAATGAAGCATTGACAACTTAACGCTTTTTGTCTGGGTCACCTTGGTACCTGCAACCCCTTCAAGTTCCTTTGAATTCTCTGGTTGTGAGCAAGCAGCTGTGCCCTATGAGCTGCAAACAAGGGGAATGGAATATTTGTGGACAGTTTGTGTTCAGCAAGTGCAGCAAGAATTGATGGTGCGTACTGGACAGTTGTGTAGCAAGGGTCCTGTAAGGTAGTTAAGCATAAAGGGTGAACATTAAAAAAAAAAAGATACAGTGGTGCTATAATAGCCAAACCAAAATGTTACAGTTTTTTCTTGTTATCTTCTAAAAAATATCTGTTGTTCACTGTCAGTGCTGATTGTAGCCAAAACCCTATAGTTTAACCCTCAGTCTGTGCTAGCTCTTTAACACCTCCGTACATGCTGGTGGTGGGCTTGGTGCAGACAATCCAACATCAAGGCTTCCCCTTGACCCATGTCAGTTTCAGTCCCTCAAGCTTGAGTCTTCTTCACCCTGTGTGCCAAAGCAAAGCTGAGCAGACTTGGCAACAGCAATATCACATTGCTGTGTAGGGAGCACGCAGGTGGGGAGGGCAAACATTCCAGGGATGTGTTACAAATAGTAAAAAGCAAGGGGATGGAGGAAAATGAGAGAAAACCTTATTTCTTCTCCTGAGAGAGTCTTGGCCAGAGAAATGATGACGTCCAGATTGTGGACTGGAAAAGCTTTATTCAGCTTCATCCCTGGCAGTGTGCTGTCTGAACTATCCATTTCTTCCTGCATTCCTAGTTCAATTGAAGCAAAGAAAATCTGCTTTCTTGCTTTATAAGGCTCAGCCTTCAAGGTCTGTGGCCAGATCTGCTCACTCTCTTGGCTTCCTCCAGGGCACTTACCATCCTTTAACGTGAAGAACATTGTTTACGCAATGCATATGCTGCCTCATGGTTTATGATGTGAGATTATGGAACAGCTGGTCAACATGATATATGACTACAGTAGGGAGGCAGGTGGAAGAGGTGATCGTTACAGTTAGGTTTCATGGCTCAGGGAAACTTCAAAACAGTTTTGAAGACCAAAGGGGCTGTCAGCTGGCTACGTTGCCTAGTGGGTTGGGGGTGAGACTGAGGGGGCAGGAAATGTCCTTTGCTTTCATCAGCATGATTTCAAGAAACACAGGGCATTTAAACATGGGAGCGGTCAGAAGGACAATTGTCAGGGAAAAAGGACAGTCGTTTAAGTGCAATACTTTGAGCTTCCTAACTGAAAAGGCCTCCTACATCCTGCGTTTCTTTGCCAAGGTCAGGTGCTTGGGCACCCCTGGATTGGAGAGCCCTGGGTTTCTGAACAGTGCGGGAGGATCAGAGGAAAATGAACTCATTAATATTTGGCCCCAGAAGAAGCCACTTGTCATGTTTTGCGCTGTGGGTGGCCCAAGGAAGGGATATGGGTTACCGAGGTTTTTAAATGTGATATGTGATGCAGGTATGTAAGAGCACGTCACCAGACGGCTGCCGGTTTTCCAGTGACAGTTAGATTGCTCTGCTGCATCCATCTTCAGAGTTGATAAACACTCTGCTGTTTCCATGAGAGAAATCCTGTCCTATCAGTCACTTGTCTATGGACGGCATCGTCCAGACCATTTGTGTGCCAGTCCTCAGCTCTCGGCCCTTTGCCTTCTTTCTCTCTTCCTTTCTTTTTGATTAGGACAGCGTTTGCATTTCCTGTCAGTGTGCCACTTGACAAGAGGTTTAAGTGCCTGGGAGCATGGCAATCAGCAGCAGGTCAGCCTGTGTCTCAACTGCCGCCGTTGGCAACCTACTCGAGGCTAATTGAAAGTTTGCTGTCTTCGTTGTATCGATGGTTTTCTAGGTGAATGCCAAACTCCCAATTGGGACCCCTGATTACATGGCTCCTGAAATGCTAACTGTGATGAACGGGGACGGGAAAGGCTCCTACAGCCTGGACTGCGACTGGTGGTCAGTGGGTGTCATCGCCTATGAGATGGTTTATGGGAGGTCCCCATTCACGGAGGGCACCTCAGCCAGGACCTTCAACAACATCATGAATTTCCAGGTAAGGAGCCATCAGTAGATGCTTAAAGATGGTGTGAATGGGGATGGGAATTTGGTATAGTACCTGGTATGCCAGCATCCTGTATCAGAGAGATGCCTGGGTACAAGTCCTGGCGCTGCTGTGTCACGGCGGCTGATGTTGGCTCAAGTGCCTGGAGACCCACCACTCACACAGGAGACTGGATTTGACTTTCAGGCTTCAGGCTTGGGTCTGGTCCAGCCTGGGCTGTTGTATTTGCGGGGGGTGAACCAGTGTACCACAGATCTCTCTCTGTGTGTATCTCTTTCTCTGCATTTCAAATAAATAAAATGAGAAAACAATCTTAAAAAATTAAGAAAGTTGTATGAATGAATGATTATATATAAACCAACAGTATTTCACTGGAAAATAATAATAAAATACTTACTTAGCACTTGCTTTTGTGCCAAAAGCTATTTCAAACATCACTAATTGTAGTTCGTTGAATCTCAGCTGCTAGTCAAGTTGTACGACTGCACTCTGCTGCCAATTAATGTATGATCCTTTATTATAAAAATATGTTTGATTTCACTGCTATTGAATGTGAATAAATCTGAGTCTAGGATTGATGGAATACAGTTTATTAATTTGATCTTCATATTATCCTGTAAGGTAGAAACGGTTGCATTATTATTCTAATTTATAGATATATTGAAAATATAATACAGAAAGGTTAAATAACTTTTCCAAAATAACACAGACTATTTGGTTCTGAAATCCATTCTCTTGATTTTACATTATATTGCTTCTTTTTTTTTTTAAAGATTTATTTTTATTATTTTTTTGTTGGAAAGGCGGATATACAGAGAGGAGAGACAGAGAGGAAGATCTTCTGTCCGATGATTCACTCCCCAAGTGAGCACAACGGTCGATGTTATGCCGATCCGAAGCCAGGAGCCTCTTCCGGGTCTCCCACGCGGGTGCAGGTTCCCAAAGCTTTGGACCATCCTTGACTGCTTTCCCAGGCCACAGGCAGGGAGCTGGATGGGAAGCAGGGCTGCCAGGATAGAACCGGCACCCATATGGGATCCTGGGCGTGCAAGGCGAGGACCTTAACCACTGCGCCACCGCGCCGGGCCCTATATTGCTTCTTAGTACTAACAGTTCGATATAGTAGTACAATTTTTTTTAAGTTTACTCATTTTTCTTTGAAAAGCAGATTTGAAAGGGAGAGTTGCAGAGAGAAGGAGAGAGAAAGGGAGAGAGGTCTTCCATCTGCTAGTTCTCTCCCTAAACAGCTTTAAATGGCTGAAATGGAGCCAGTCCAAATCTAGGAGCCAGGAGCTTCTTCTGGGTCTCTCATGTAGGTGCAGGGTCCCAAGTACTTGAGCCATCCTCTTCTGCTTTTCAGGGAACTAGATCAGCACCCATATGGGATGCTGAAAGTGGAGGATGAGCTTGCTGAGCCACTGCGCTAGGCAGTGGAATTGAATTTTAGATATGGTAGCATGTTTGTGTATGTGACGTGATGTGTGTGTATGTATGTATGTATTCATATATGAAGTTGAGCCACTTTCTAATAACTATACTTGCTACTATATTAAGCTTGTTTCTTAAGGATATGATAAATACATGTTGTTTAGTTTCAACCAAAAGGGAAAAGAGAACTTAGTTTCTAGGTTTTAATATCTCACCCAGTCCCACCTTTCTGGAGTGCCTAATATAGAATGTATGCACATACATATACACACTATATTTGTTATTCTTCTTAAAAAATATTTATTTGAAAGACAAAAAGGGATAGAGATGGAGAGATATCTCCTATTTACTGGTTCACTCTCCAAATGCCTGCAACAGTTGGGAGTGGGCCAGTAGCCCAGACCTTGACCTGAGCCTGCTGTGTGGGATGCAGGGACATAAGCACTTGAGCTGCCTGCTGCCTCGTGGGGTGCACATTAGCTGGAGGCTGGGATAGAGAGCCGAGTCAGGACTTGAGGCAGGCACTGGAACGCGGCATGCTGGTATCCTGAGCAGCATCTTAACCACTATACTAAATGTATACCCCTGCTATGTGTTATTCCTCAGTCTTTCCTTCATTTACAGTTTCCTTTTAGGTGACCCTTGGGGCCGATTTCTTTCTTTCATCTAGATTCAGTCATTCAGCAGTTTGAGTGATACTGCATGGAACCCGGTTTGTAGCCATGAACCAGAAGGAGAAGGCCCTCTCTCCCATCTTTTTCCGTCATCACGCACAAGTCCCCGTGCCTTGTGCCTTTACCGAAGCAGGATACAGAGAGAGCTTGCACAAGGCAGTGATGGGGCAGAAAATGTAGCCAGGGCAGGCTGAGTGGGTGGGGAGGGCAAGCTAGGCAGAGGGAAGAGAACAGCGCGGCTTGTTCAGGAAGCTTTAAATAGCTCATCATTGTTGGACAGCAGAGAGCAGTGGGAGCCCAGCGAGATGCACCAGGAGAGGGGAGCAGGGGTCAGCCGTGAACTCGGCCTATTGATGTACACAGGCCATTTATTTCAGGAACATGCCTTTGGTCCAAAGTAAAGAGGACACAGAACTTGTGTCTTTAAAAAGGAAACTAAAGAAACTTGCATATGTGAGAAATAGTTAACTTTGGAACATGACAAGCTGAATTACCACTAAGGAAATAATGATTGTGTTTCATTTCTTCCTTCCTTTTGTATTTTCTTTCCCTCTTTGTCCCCCTCCCTTCCCTCTCCTCTCCTCCCTCCCCTTTCTCTCTCCTACCTTCCCTTCATTTGAAACAGCGGTTTTTGAAGTTTCCAGATGAACCCAAAGTCAGCAGTGAATTTCTTGATCTGATTCAAAGTTTGCTGTGTGGTCAGAAAGAGAGACTGAAGTTCGAAGGTCTTTGCTGCCATCCATTCTTCTCTAAAATTGACTGGAATAACATCCGCGAGTGTAAGTCGAACCTGCCCCTTACATTCTGGCGTCGGTATTAAGAAGTACTTAGGAGCAATCAGTAATTACGTGGGCCTAGAGAAGCTGAGGAAAATTGCATAAAGATTTTGATTATCCACAGGAGGATGGAAAAGGCTAGTAATGTAACTATCTTTGAACGTTAAAATTGCACAGAAGTGGGAGCTTGACTCAACTCCGTGTTTATGCGGCCTTTCCCATGTGGTCTGGCAGTGCATTAGAAGTGCAGGATGGCGGAGCTTTTAGGTTTGGTGGTTTCTTTCCAGAAAAAACTGGAGAAAATGGAATGTCAGAATTCCATTCACGTGTTAGGAGGAAGATCGGGGCTGGGCAGTATCTTAGAATGTTCCTGACCAAGGCTGCTGTAAAACCACAGGTGCCTCACTGTATTGTTTTGCTTGCTTCTGTAACACGTGTCTCTGCTCACAAGCATGTGGAATCCGTGCTGCAGATGTACAATGGATTCTTTCACACGTCACTCTGAAGTCAATTAGCGTGGACTGAGTTACTTCATTAAAAACAAAGACCCGACTTCTTATCAACAAAGCAGAAATGCCCTTTGGTTTACAACTTGGTGGTTTTTACAGTTTTTTTGTTCACGTGAACCATTTTTGTTTTTGAATGTGCTGTTGATTGAATACAGTCTAATCACTCGTTGGAGAACGGCAGGGACCAGAGCCAGTAGAAAAGCAGTGGACCCGTTTTTTCAGTTATGTTGATGGGAGAGGTGAGGAAATGGAACTCAATTTTGTTTTTCATTTTTATTTATTGAACTGGAAGGTAAAGATAGAGAGCTCGTGATCTCATATCTGCTCCCATATCTGCTAATTCACTGTCTAAATGCACATAAAACCAGAAACTAGGAGCTCAGCCCAGATCTCCCCCATGTGGCAAACTGCCAAGCACTTAGGCCTTGTCCTGGTGCCTCTTAGGATCTGCATTAGCAGGAAGCCGGAACCAGAAGTGGAACTTGGCCTCAAACAAGGCCTCCTGATGAGGGATGTAGGTGTCCCATGGTGTATCTTAACTGCTGGGCTAAACGCCCATCACCAGAACGCATTTTTGTATGTCAAAACTGGGCTTCTAGGAGGCCTGGGTTGTGGTTGGAATCCTGTGTGCCTTTGGCAGGGACATGAGTGTGAGTATGTGGTAAGGGGCCAGTGCTGTGTGGCCACAAGCCACTTTGATGGTTTTCTTGGCCTGCTGCCGAGATATGTCGGTAGGCTACCCCTACCCTAAGCCATTCTGGGTCAACATTGTTCTTCTGATAGCCCCACACTGTCTTGTTTTTCTGATTTTTGTAGGTCTCCATCTTCCCCGGGGTTCAGGCCTTTTCAGTAATAGATTTTCAGTACGTTCTCCCTTTTTATGCTTTTTAAAAGGCTTGATAGAATTTCCTTTAGATGTTATTCAAGTACCTTTTTTTTTCTTGCTTTGCCTTTTTATCTCTGTAATCATCTTGAATAAGCAGCTAGTTTTTTCAATGCATGAATGTGCTGATTATGCCTCACGGTCTATCTCCCCTTAAGTCAGCGAATGGTAATTAATTACCAGAGTGACTTTATTTTGTGTTTTGGTAAACTCTGATGTTGTTTTTAGTATTACAGTGAACCCTTACTGTCCATGGGGGAATTGGTTTTTGCATTTCAGGAATACCAAATTCAAGGATATTGAAGTTCCTTATAAAGGGGCCTGGCACGATAGCGTAGCAGTTAAAATCCTTGCCTTGAATGTGCTAGGATCCCATATGGGTATGGGTTCTAATCCTGGCAGCCCCACTTCCCATCCAGCTCCCTGCTTGTGGCCTGGGAAAGGAGTTGAGGATGGCCCAAAGCCTTAGGACCCTGCACCTGTGTGGGAGACCCAGAAGAGGCTCCTGGGTTCAGATTGGCTGAGCTCTAGCTGTTGTGGCCACTTGGGAAGTAAACCATTGGATGGAAGATCTTCCTCTCTGTCTCTCCTCTCTTCTCTGTGTATCTGCCTTTCCAATAAAAACAAATAAATCTTTAAAAAAAAAAATAAAGATAGGGCCCGGCGGCATGGCCTAGCGGCTAAAGTCCTCACCTTGAACTCGCCAGGATCCCATATGGGCACTGGTTCTAATCCCGGCAGCTCCACTTCCCATCCGGCTCCCTGCTTGTGGCCTGGGAAAGCAGTCAAGGATGGCCTAAAGCTTTGGGATCCTGCACCCACGTGGGATACCCGGAAGAAGTTCCTGGCTCCTGGCTTCGGACCAGCATAGCATCGGCTATTGCGCTCACTTGGGGAGTGAATCATCGGACAGAAGATCTTCCTCTCTGTCTTTCCTCCTCTCTGTATATCTGACTTTCCAATAAATAAATAAATCTTAAAAAAAAGATAAAATGATTTAGTATTTGCATATAAACTACCCAGTTCTCCTATGTGTTTTAAATCATCTCTAGATTACTTATATTACCTAACCCACTGTAAAAACTATAGAAAGAGTTGTTGTACTATATTATTTAGGGAATGATAGCAAAAGATTTTAGTACGCAGTTTCTTGAACCTCATGGATATGGAATTTACAGATATGGAGGTCCAATTGTTCGTCAGACTCCCAGATTTTGTCTAATTTCTCCTTTCAGGCTGTTGACTGATTTTAAGTTTACTGGAATTATAACTCTAGCTATTTTTCTGTTGTATTAATTAGCTTTTGGTTACCATGAAGGAAGACCCAAGGGAAGCCACTTAGAAAAGAGAGAGGTGCATTGTGGCACACGATTTTGGAGGTTCATAGGGTAAGATCGAGAGGATGGGCCGTGCTGCGAGACAAGAAGCAATGGGATGGATACTGGCTGGGCCTTACTCAGGCTTACAGGCCCAGTCCTCCTGAGAGAGCTGCCTGATGAGGGCACACCCCAGGGCTCCAATGTGGCACACCTCCTAAGCACTACAAATGGTACTACGTTTCCTTCCTCTTAGTGTCTTTAACTTGTCTCCTAGGTGATTTGACATTGACATGAAGTGGGGACGTGGATCCTTTTTCAGATACAGTGGCAGCAGATACCACGCATCTGAGTAGAGTAGTGCCTGCTGTCCCTCTTTGGGCAGAGTTGGCCTTGTGATGTGCTGGTCATCTCAGTCATAGTCACACACGGGGCCTCCACGTTGTTCACGTTGTCCATGGCTGTGTGCCTAGTTTCCACGTAGCATGCCCTCCTTGATGCTCCTGGCCCCATTTATCCCAGGGAATTCTCTCCTAGCAGAATTCTAGTTCCTAAACACATCATTGGTTTCTGTGGACTCCCGACTCTCAATATAGTGGCTGTGAAGACACACAAAATGCATTTGCCCTAAATATTTTTTCTTTTAATTTTAGTAAGTGCTTTATTTTGAAATAATTTTAGATTGTTATAGCACTCATTCAGAGAGGGAATCTCTGCTCACCCTTTTCCCGAGTCAGTCTCACCTGTTAACGGTGTCACCTTAGTCTAAAATTAAGGTTAACACTGGTCAGTAACTGTTAACTAAACTTAAGACGTATTTGAATTTCAGCAGTTTCCTAATTCATTACTTCTTTTTTTCTGCCTATAATTTGAAGAGTAGGATACAGAGAGGGACACACACACACACACACACACACACAAACACACAGATAATGTGCTTAAGTCAACTGATTCACTCCCCAAAGTCTGCAGCTAGGAAACATAAATGCAAGGCAGGTATCCCATGTAAGTGGCAGGGACCCAGTTACTTGAGCCATCACTTGTTGCCTCCCAGGTGCACGTGAGCAGAAAGCAGAGTCAGAACTCTATCCCAGGTACCCATATGGGTGCAGACATACCAATAGGTAGCTTACCTGCCTGTTTAAATGCTCGTCTCCTCATGTCCCTTTCTTCTCCAGGTGCCATATTGCTGGAGTCATTCCAGGGTACCATATTGATGTTGGGGTTTAGTCTTGATGGGACTAGTCCTGCTAAGATCCTTTTAGGTAGTTTCCTGCAACTGTGCCCTGCATGCCCATGAAAGCTAATGCCTTGTGATTATCTGGCATTCCTGATCTGCCAAGAGGTGCAGTATTAATTAAGGGTTGCCTGGCAAGTTTTCCTGTTTTTCACCCACACATGATCCCCATAATTTACAATCAACTGAGAGTCTTTATCATTGAAAACTTGATTGAACTCTATTATTTGAGCCTCTTTTCTTACAATGTAATGCTACGATAAATTATGCCTTTGTCCAGTCACACTTTTCATAAGCACATGTTGAGTGATTTTTGGCAGCCCAAACACTTGAAGTCACTGAGTTGTCCAAGTTCATGGTTGCTGCTTAAATAGTACCATGTGGTTCCAGGCAGTGGAATATTTCTACTCTGAACAATATGAGACTGTCTGTTGGTGAAAGCAGCATTAGCCTCTCTGCTGTTTCAACCCCTTATTCTTTTCCTTGTTGTAGCTAATGAAGGAGGTACTGTTCAACTCAGCAGGTAGTAATTTTCTACAGCTAGCTAACGCAAGAGGTGGTCCTGGCAGGATGCATTCATGCAATGTAAGGTGGACCTTGGTAAAAAAAAAAATTTTTAAGATTTATTTATTTTTATTGGAAAGTCAGATATACAGAGAGGAGGAGAGAAAGAGGAAGATCTTCCGTCCAATAATTCACTTCCCAAGTGGCTGTGATGGCTGGTCCTGAGCCGATCTGAAGCCAGGAGCCCAGAGCTTTTTCCGGGTTTCCCACGTGGGTGCAGACTCCCAAGGCTTTGGGCCTTTTTCGACAGCTTTCCCAGGCCACAAGCAGGGAGCTGGATGGGAAGCCAGGCTGTCGGGATTAGAATCGGTGCCCATATAGGATCCTGGCATGTGTAAGGTGAGGGCTTTAGCCTCACTTTGAAATGTTAGAATAATGGACTAGGCTACCGTGCAGGGTCTAGGCCTTGGTAAATTTGTGTGTGACAGCTGGGTGTGGCTACTGAGAGCAGCATCCCTTGACTTTGTCCCTGAGATCAGGTGGAGAAGTTACTG